TGGGAATGATGCCTTTCGCGATTGCAGCTCTTTGGTGAACTTGACCACCCCAGACTCTGTGACCCACATTGGGGATTCTGCCTTTCAGGGTTGCAGCTCTTTGGTGAACTTGACCATCCCGAACTCAGTGACCCACATTGGGGATGGTGCCTTTCACGGTTGCTGGTCTCTGGGGAACTTGACCATCCCTGACTCAGTGACCCACATTGGCAATTCCGCCTTTCAGGATTGCAGATCTTTGGCCAAGGTGACCATCCCAGACTCGGTGACCTGCATTGAGATGTGTGCCTTTCAGGGTTGCAGCTCTTTGGTCAACTTGAGCATCCCAAACTCAGTTTTCCACATTGGGAATTTTGCCTTTCAGGGTTGCAGCTCTTTGGCAAATTTGACCATCCCAGACTCCGTGAGATACATTGGGGATTTCGCTTTTCCAATTTTTTTGCAGCTACAGCTTTTTGAAAAACTTGACCATCCAGAGGGTCAGGCTGGGCATATGATAAACACTTGAGCATCCGATTGACTTGAGCATACTCGCCACAGAGCAGAAGAGGCCCAATCCGGTCGTGAAACCCGTTGGCTCGTTTCGCAAAATCGATTGGCTCATGGCCAGCCCGGGCGGCTTGTCACGTGTGACCTGTCACGTGACACCCGGATCGGTTCGGTGCAAGAGATGACAGTCGATCACGGGGTGATGCCGCTGGCTCGCGGCGGTGCGTTGTTTTTTTTTTTCAGCTTTCAACATCTGTGGGCCCGTGATTAAAGAGACCTGGCCAGGAACTGACGGTCATCACTGGTCCTTGGTTCCTCTCCCTTCTCCAAGCAGTGGTCTTGTCCGATGGATGGTGGGAGCTATCTGGATTGGCATGGGGGTGGGTCATGCAGGTGCAGGTGCACGCATCAATCATGCAGGAAATTGCATATACGACACCCATCGACACCCGGACTAGGGGTTTCTATTGATAGCTCCTGAAAGAGGTGATTGACAACCTTATGCAATACTACCAGGACCCTCCAAGGTTCGCCTGCTTGGAGACCACAGGTGGGGAACCTGGGCAGGAAGCACCTGGCCAGGAGGGTGCTGGTGGTGGAAATTGCATCTCCAAGGTAATTGGGGATCACGCAAGAAAGAGGGTGGTCCAATGTGCTGTTCCAGATCTCTTTGCAAGTCCAATCATATATTAAGCCCATGAAGAAGCAACATAAGAGAGAGCTTCCTCCTCCTCGAGATGTAGATCCCCACGAAGAAAGTATTGGACACGGTGCCACTATCTATTTGAAGACCACTACCCTGTCGACTTCCGTTCGACCATTAAGAAGAAATGGTTGTTGTTTCACTGGTTTTTGTAGTGTAAACTCCTTAGTTGGTTTGGGATTCAGCCTATTAATTTAAAGGTTGGAAGTCTAGGGACATCTAGGGACTATAGGTAGAGCAAGTTCACCCCATCTTCCCTCCCCACACGGATCTGGGAATTGGCGTTCACCAAAGAACGGCCTTTTTCTTCGACCTCCACCTGCGCCTGCGTGGCCAGCGAGGTTGACCGTCGAGACAGTATCGTCTTATGGTTCGCCCCCGGGTCGCTGCCCCCCCAAATCGGCCGTGTCGATAGAGTTCGGTTGACCCAAGAGAGGTTGAGAGGTCGCTTCACGTTCGGACCCAGGGATCCTGTGGTACATGGGATGGGCGAGCTTTCAGGCTGTGAAAAACCTCTCTTGGTGCCTCCCAAAGCTGCCAACCTTCCAACCAGATCTCTCCCAAAGCTGCCTCTCTTGGTCGCTTCACTCCCCACACAGATCTTGGTGGTGTTGCTGTCTTATACGGAAGAACCGCTCCATGGACCTGCCATGTCGGACTGCCTTCGTCATTTCACGGCCGATGGGGTGGTGCGTGCCAGAGGGGTTCAGACTCTGGGGCGGCAGAACGATGGCAGTCCCATGGAGTGTATGGGGAATAGTAAAACCGCTCCATGGTCGGGGAAAACACATGCGATTCAATCTTCATGGGCGGCTCCGGGGGCTTCCGAGATATGGATGTGCACGGACTTGATCACCTTACGACTGGGAAGGCGACTGGGGGTTTGCCCTGACTTGGTCACCTTCCTTGGCCAATGATTCCTCTTTTTTGTTGAAGGGCCAACAGGAAGACTTTTTCTCAGCCCCCCATGGCTAGGGCCAGGGAAGACTTGATCACTACCCAACATTCAGTCCTGCCCACAAAACCCGAATGGCCGGCAGGAAGACTTGATCTTCTCGAATGGCCTCCACAGCTACTTGGCGCAGCTGCATCCCTTGCTCTTCAAGGACGGGGCTCCGAACCGCGCCGGGACGGAGGGACCGGGCAGGGCAGGGCGGTTCGCGACAAGGGAGGCGAACATGCAGGCGATCTGAAGGTGTGGAAGGTTTTGGATGCCCCACTTTATGAAGGGGCGAAAGATGTTGGGTCTCCAGAAAGCCAGTTGTTATATGGTCGAATGATCTAACAAGAAGCCTTCAGGACTATTGGAACAACATCACATTCTGGAGTGTCTAAGGAGCTTCATTTCTAGCTCCCTTGTTGGCTCGTCGAACATGCACTGCTCGCCCATCCAGATTTCCAGTTCGACTCCCGACCCAAAACCGCTTTGGCCACCTGTTTGTTCGCGTTGCACCGGCAGGATTCCAGCCTGTGGTGCATCAGTGCCGGGATTCTCAGCTTCGGTCCCTGCCACACCAACCACTCGGTCCGTCCGTCGCCGGTCGACGCGACGTGACACTTCGACCCTGTGCGAGCCGTCACCGATCTCCAGGATGCGCCATGGACCCCTGGTCTTTCTGAGGCGGCAGATATTCCATATGAGCCATTCGATAAACCTCCGTGTTCATGATACGACATGGGATTTCATCTAAATATCTAAGGTTTTCAGAAACGCTCAAATATGGCTATACATGGAATGTCATTTTGGGATATGGCGGACCCTGAAATCACCCCAACTTGTATACGATCTGCTCAGTGAAAAAAAAAGAGGCCGGTCGACCGGGACTGTTCCACTCTCCGGGAACCCGGTCGACCGGTCGACCGTAGCCTTCGACCGTGCAGATGGTCCTGGCCGGGTCGGGTCTCGCGTCGGTCGAGTCGACGGCACGCGGACCAGGTGAGTGGTACCCGAGGTCGTCGTCGCAGCCCATTTTTCGGGGTCGGAGTCTGAATTCGTCTCAAATAATCCGGTTTTGGATCGGAGTCTGAAGATGTCTGAAGTCTCATTCATCTGAAGTCTCATTTCTCGTGCTCGTTGGATCGGTCCTTGGCCCCTTGGCCTCTCTTATTCTGCAAAAAGGCGGCTTCGAAGCTGCTTCGATTCATTGAGTACGAAGGTGTTGCACCCATCGGAAAGAGCGTCTCCAATCGTTGGACTCCAAGTCCCCAAGTCCCCAAACTCCTTGCAGCTTGTTCATCAGCTACTCCATCATCATCTGCAGGATTCCAACCATCTGAGACCCCACAGAACCCCTCCGGGTGCCGAAGACGACGCGGGTCCACACGAGCGAACGAGCGCGAGCTTCCGAGCGGGAGCCGACGACGCGGGCGAAGCGTGGTAACTCGGCCAATGGTGACGATGGTGACGTTCTGGAGCTTGGGCCTGTCTTGCAGATTCCCCCTCCGGGACCTTCTGGTGGTCTTTCCGGCTTCAGTTTGAGAACTGAGCAGATCGGACGAACCGAACGGAGGGGTCCTGGTCGTATTGCCCCACAACAATTTTCATCATGTTCTTTGGCGAAGACGAAGATGTGTTCTATCATAGACAGCTCTTTGAGGCCAAAGCAATAGTCAGCTCAAATCCAAATCCAGGTAGAGCGAACCAAATCCTGACCCACTAGCCAGCAAGCATTCGTTTCAAATCCAAGTTAATAGTCTTTGAGCCATGGCGACGCAGATTTCAGCGCTGCAGCCAAATGGTGAAAGCCTGGTTCTTGAAGTCACGCCCGAGACAACAGGCCGAGCGCTCAAGCAGCAGATCAAGGAGGGACAGCCTTGGGACGAGCTCACTCGCAGCACTACAGGTGTGGAGATCATTGTCGGAGACAACCACTTGCTGGCCAACGATACAAAGGTATTGGAAGCTGGAATTGCTGAAGGTACTGTCGTGAGTGTTGTCTTCAAACCCAATGTCGTGATATGCTCCAACCAAGATGTCATTGCCAGTCTTGGCGGCACCGTTGACTCAGATTTGTTGCTTGTGGTCGAAATTCCAACCACGGAAACACAGATTTGTGAAAGCGCTTTTGAAGGATGCACATTGGCCAAGGTGACCATCCCGCACTCAGTGACCCACATTGGGAATCAGGCTTTTTGTGGTTGCAGTTTTTTGGTAGACATCACCATCCCCAATTCTGTGACCCACATTGGGGATCGTGCTTTTCAATACTGCTATTCTTTGGCAAACTTGACCATCCCGGACTCCGTGACCCACATTGGGGATGGTGCCTTTCACGGTTGCTGGTCTCTGGGGAACTTGACCATCCCTGACTCAGTGACCCACATTGGCAATTTCGCCTTTGAGGGTTGCACCTCTTTGGTGAACTTGACCATCCCGGACTCTGTGACCCACATTGGGAATTTTGCCTTTGAGGGTTGCAGCTCTTTGGTGAGCCTGACCATCCCGGACTCTGTGACCCACATTGGGCATATGGGTCGCAGCTGACAAACGTTGAGCATCCCGGACTTTGAGCATCGCAGAAAATGCAAAATGTGTGTCGACTTTTTTTGGAGAAGACAAAAAGTCCTATGGGCGGCGCCTTCATTTTTTGCCAAAGAGTTTTATCATATCGCTAGAAACCTTAGAAGAACTTTCCCACCACTGACCCACAGTTTCAATCTATTTTTACATATGTTTTATTGTTTAATTAAGTGTATTACACATTTTTTTTGGACTTCGTGCTCTTGGACCAGTTGAAGAAGGGGATTGGCGTTGGGTTATGCAGACGCAGATGGAAACAAGAAGAGTGTGGACTTTGCACGACTGTTTCAGTTTTGGGGGATAACTTAGGCCAATGTCTATCAGGTGCTGTTCTCCAGCTTCTTCAAAGTGACCTCCAATGGAGGTAACATAGAGAGATCCAATGTCTATCAGTGCTGTTCTAGAGCATCTTTGCTGATCAGCTATAACTTAGCCCAAGAAACAAAGAATAAGAGAGAGAGAGAGAGTAGCGAGAGCTTTCTCCACCATCCACAAATAGAGCGAACCAAATCCTGACCCACTAGCCAGCAAGCATTCGTTTCAAATCCAAGTCAGTAGTCTTTGAGCCATGGCGAGGCAGATTGCAGCGCTGCAGCCAAATGGTGAAAGCCTGGTTCTTGAAGTCACGCCCGAGACAACAGGCCGAGCGCTCAAGCAGCAGATCAAGGAGGGACAGCCTTGGGACGAGCTCACTCGCAGCACTACAGGTGTGGAGATCATTGTCGGAGACGACCACTTGCTGGCCAACGATACAAAGGTATTGGAAGCTGGAATTGCTGAAGGTACTGTCGTGAGTGTTGTCTTCAAACCCAATGTCGTGATATGCTCCAACAAACATGCGATCGCCAGTCTTGGCGGCATCGTTGACTCAGATTTGTTGCTTGTGGTCGAAATTCCATTTGATGAAACACAAATTCTTGAGAGTGCTTTTGTGAGGTGCGAAACATTGGCCAAGTTGATCATCCCGGACTCAGTGACCCACATTGGGGATTATGCCTTTGGTTGTTGCAGCTTCTTGGCAAACTTGACCATCCCGGGCTCTGTGACCCACATTGGGGATGGTGCCTTTCTCGGTTGCAGATCTTTGGCAAACTTGACCATCCCAGACTCAGTGACCCACATTGGAGGGCAAGCCTTTTATGGTTGCAGCTCTTTGGTTAACTTGACCATCCCTGACTCAGTGACCCACATCGGGTATCATGCCTTTTATGGTTGCAACTCCTTGAAAGACTTGACCATCTCGAGCTCAGTGACCCGCATTGAAGATGGCGCCTTTCGGGGTTGCTGCTCTTTGGTGAGCTTAAGCATCCCCAATTCCGTGACCCAGATCGGTAGGCTTGCTTTCGAGGGTTGCAGCTCTTTGACAGACTTGACCATCTCGAGCTCAGTGACACACATTGAAGGTGACGCCTTTCGGGGTTGCTACTCTTTGGTAAACTTGACACTCCCTGACTCAGTGATCCACATTGATGCTTGCGCCTTTCAGGATTGCAGCTCTTTGGTTAACTTGAGAATCCCGGACTCAGTGACATGCATCGGAATATCCGCCTTTAAGGGTTGCAGCTCTTTGGTGAACTTGGTCATCCCGAACTCCGTGGAGGACATTGGTTTCTCTGCATTTGAAGGTTGCGACTCCTTGGCAAACTGGACCATCCCGGACGCGTTTCAGGTTCTTGATCTCCCCAGTGCTTCCTCGTTTGGCAGTCCAGGTCCAGGTGGACGATTTGGAGAAGGCTCCAACGAAGCGGTGCTCCGCGGTGCTCCCGTGGATTCCCTCTACATCCGTAGAAACCTCGACACTGGGAGACAAAGACCATCAAAAAGAAGGGTCTTAATAGGCCATTGAGGTGACCCTTCGTGACCCGGAATGTCCGAACCTTCAGTCGGTCCAAAGAGAGTCTGGAAGCTGGATCAACTTCTAGCAGCACCGAAACCCTGCCAGGTCTCCGAAATGGTGGCTTTTGTAGCTTTTGTAGACTTAAATGTGTCAGGTGGTGACCTGTGAAATCGGGTACTGGTAGGGGGGTCGATCTTTCAATTCCTCTTCTCCGAGTTCTTCCACGTGCGCGACGCCGTCACGCCGACCTCGACCCAAGGCCTACAGCGACTTGAGCCTGGCACCCTTTGCCCGAGACGTGTCGGTGATGCTGAGGACTCGCGACAGAGACCGTGCCGCGCTCGCGGCAGCGGCACGGCGCTGCGGGTGCACCGGGAGCTTCTCCTCAGCTGAGTTTCTGGGGAGGATTTTCACCAGCAGAGGTTCAGTGACCTGAACTAGGACCCTACTAGGGGTATACCTATATATATATATTATATATACCAGCATCTCCAGGTCACCAATTGAAACCTGTTAATTAGGGCCTTTCCCAACCCTCCATTTCGGAGACCTGGTAGGGTTCGGTGCTGGTATAGATCGAACCTTCGGGTTCTGACCCTGTTGGATCCACCAGGCTTCACATCAAACCTTCGGACTACGTCCAGTGTTTCGGTCCTGCGTTGGACCCTTGGACATCCACCGTTCGTCGACGTCCGTCCGTCCCGAAGTCCCTCCGGTGGAGGACTTCGTGGTTCTCGGGGCGAGCGTGGATGGTGAGCTTCAAGAAGATCGTCGAGGCGGGCAAGTCGGACCGGACGCGGGCGATCCGGTGGTCCTTCCGCACCGGGCGATCCGGTGGTCCTTCCGGTACCGGGAAAGCGCGGTAAGTGGACCTGCGGTACGGGACCATTCGACATGAGATGCTGGGAGGAGGTGACAATGTCAGACACCACCTGCCAGCTGGTGACGTTCCTCCGGTGAAGCCCACCTGTGGCAATTGGTCTCCAAGTCCAGCCGAACAAACCGGAGGGTCCTTCCAGTCCTTCCATCAAAACCGCCCTGATGAACAGCCGCCCTCGTTTCCTCAGAGCCCTCGTTCAAACGTCTCCGACGGGGAGGTGATTTTGCCTCACTGGTCACTCCAGCAACGCTGGCGGCCCCTTCTCCGGCAGCTGGCTGCAGAAGCGCAGCAGGCGCAGTGGGCCGACCAAAGCTATAGGCAACTGTTTGAAGAAGGCAGGACATGGCTTGCATGAAGAAGGCACAGGACATGGTTTTGGTTGGAAATGGTTGGAAGATCCAGGTTGGAGCGTTTGAAGACTTGGATCATCTCTGATCATGAGTGTTTGCAGCACCTCGGGAAAACGCAAAGCGCCTCAAATACGTCGAAGGTGGAGATTGATACCGTTTCCCACTCGCGAGCGCGACGCGCGACTCGGCTCAGGATTGCCTGGTGCCAGAGGTCTCGAGAGCGGCCTTTACGGGCTATCTCTGTCAGAGTCTCAAGCGGGCTACCCCATAGGAGTGATGGAGTGAGGCGGAGTGAGGAGTTCTGAACCATCCAGTGAAAGCAAAAAACGGCCGGTGAGCCGAGTTCAGGAATTCGCTTTAGTTAAGTGGTGCCAAGAAATATTCTTTGGACCTGAGGTTTTTATGTTTTTTTGTTTTTAGGGCCCTCTTACGAGGGGTGTGAGGACTTTCGTGGGCGTTCGTGGTGGTTGAAGAAGCGTTGGGAGCGTTGGGTAGTTCTTTCGAGACAAATGCAGCTGGACCCTAGGCTTCCAAGCCTATAAAGAAAATGGTTGACCTGGTGCTGTAGTGTGTGTAAAATCCTTTGGTAAGACAATCCCTAGACTTCCAAGACCATCAAAAAAACATGGTTGACCTGGTGTTTGTAGTGTAAAATCCTTAGTTGATTCGGTAGTTGGCCTATTAAATACATGGTGGGCCACGAAGCCTATAGGGCAATGGTTGTTCCGAACAGGCTATTAAGTCAATGGTGCTTTGAAGCCTAGGCTGCAAGTAGAAGAGTTAGAACCCTCTAAGAATCCGGGCCCCGAAGTGTTTGGCTCCGGACCCGGCCCCGTCCGGATTCGTAAGGAAACTGTCAAACTCTACCGCTCCCAGATGCTCCATGCCAGCACCCGGTCGACCTGCCAGGTCACCACCAGGTCCACGAAATTCAGTATCCAAAAGCTACTATTTCGGAGACCTGTAGAGTCGGGTGCTGGTGTATGCCATAGGACTGCCGCCCCATTGACCCATATATACCACCACCACCCCTGGCCGTTTTGAAGGCAGTCCGGACTGGCAGTCCCATGGAGCGTCTGGGCGTTGAATTGAAAGAAGTGATCCAGCACGCCTTCCGCTGGCTGGCTTCGTTGGACCAGCTGAACCACCTTATTATATAATAAGCCTCAAATCCGTGGGGGTCGTTGCTGAGACGGATTTTCCATCGCTTCCATCGCGCTTTCTGGCGCGTCAAGTCCGGGCGCGTCGACCGCTGGCGCGGATGACCTGCCGGCCGGCACGTCATCCGCGGCCGGACAGCGAGGTGACAGCGCTGGAATCCCTGGGCAATGCGATGAGGAAGAGGCGGAGCCGAGCCGTCGCGGAACCGCTTCCGTGGCGAGGTCGGTCGATGGGACGGAGGAAGTGGGTCGATCTCCAAGGTGTCGAAGCGCAGTTGGCTGGGTGAAGATGCAGACGTTTTGTACCAGCGCCCTGATCCTGGTGACAACAGGTGCCCAGAAACCACCTGTTAGGGTCTCCAAAGAGCCTGGCGAGGAGGGTCCTGGAGGTGTTCGGATGAGTTGGTTTCTGAGTTGGGAAGCTCTATATACCTGAACATGACCCATGTAAGTCCGTCGCGGAAACATGATTCCCTGCAAGCACGAACAAAGATAGAAACACTGGAAGCACATGGTTGTAGTATGTTGTGGAGATTGTCGTGTACATGTCTAAAGTAAAACTAAGGGGCTTTTTCGGTCAAAAGCACCTGAAGTTACCATGAGTCTTCATGCGTCATTGGACTCCTGGAGACTCCTGGAGACTCCTGGACACTGGTGACCCATCGACTCCAAGTTCTCGGAACACGGTCGACCACGCCGCCGTGACACGCCGATCTCGATCGCACCTCTGCTCTGATCGTGGGAAGGTCCGGTTCGGTACAGGCTGAGATGGTCCTTTTCCGTAGCTAGTCACCGAAATACTGGAGATGGTCATACAAAACCGATATGGAATAGGATACTTAAGGAGGTCAACGACAAGCTATAGGTTTCAAATTTGCAGGCCGTGTACAGTGGTTTCAGAGTAGATGGCACAAGGGACCCCCAAGTTTGGTGCGGTATAAGTATATGGACCCTATAATAAGACATTTTTGGGTTTGTGCCATCTACTCTGAAACCAGTAACCTCACCGTCGGTCTGTGGTTTTAGCCTTTGGAACCACTGGGACTCCCAGCGACATGGTGGTTTTGGGACAGCCCCGACTCACCTCTCTTTCAGAGGCTATTCAATTCATACCAGCACCCTCACTGCCAGGTCACCACCTGACCTGACACTTTTATAGTCTCCATTTCAGCTGCCATTTCGGAGACCTGGCAGGTCGACCGGGTGCTGGTAGACACCCTGTCGACGGAGGGTCCGGGGCTACCCGATCTGAAGATATCTGACCTGTTGGAGGGTCCTGGTATATAGGCATTGGTCCAAAACCTGAGACCACACTGTGGCCACACTGCTTCGGGTCGGGCTTCAGACGTGTTCCGCGGTCCACCACAACGCACCGAAACCGGGCTCCCTTCGCCCCAGTTCCCCCCCGCCCCGCGGTGGGTGGCGCAGGTGGAGAGTCGCCGCGGCGCGCCCCTGGCGCTGCTGGCGCGGGGGCGGTGCAGCTTGGGCGAGGTGCAGCGGCTGGCGAAGGAGAGGCGCGCCGGCAGCGGGCGCGGCGATGCCGAGCCGGCTCGGCTGGGGGGGAAGGAGCGGGTGGGTCGTTGTTGGCCTGGCTGGTGGGAGTGAAAGGGGAGCGAGGTCGAGCGAACGAAGTTCTGAAGTGAGTCGAAGTGAGTGGCGGAGCGAACGGAGGATCTGAAGTGGAGACACCTTGGAGCTATAGAGTCAGAGGTGGGAGTTGTGAGTCTGATGCAACAAGGGGGGAGCGACCAATCAGTCGCTCGCATGACTGGAGCCCGCATGACTGGTGGGGGTGCATCGAAAAGCGCCAGCCATGTGGATGTCCAGGGGCGAATCATAATATGGTCCAGGATGTGTTGTTTTATCTTTCAGGACCCCCAGAGCATCCAGGCAGTTCCCATGATGTCGCTGATGACCACAGCTTTGAATGGAGTAAATTCAGACATGAACGCCTTGCAACTGGTCGTTTCTGGTCCTTGAATGTTGGGGTCCAACATTGCCACCTAACCACTCCAAACCACTTCCCCCCCCACTTAAAAGCAATGTGTTTTTGTTTCAAGGAAGTCCCTCCGCCAGGTACGACGAGCTGTTGCGCTTTGAGTGGCCCCAGGCGGGTGCCTTGGCTCAGGCGTCCACGGTGGCGACGGTGGAGCAGCTTTGTCCGGCACCCTGGAGAGAAAGTCTGGTGAAAGGTGAAAGGGAACATCTACCGCGCCTCGACTTGACTGCCAAACTATGGTCTATATAGGTACAGGAAACCATGATGAAAAACATCCCCAGATTCCGATCGGTTTCCGGTAGATTTTCTCACACCCAAATGCAACCCTGGACCCTAATCCTGTGGAGGGGTCTGGGGCTTCTCACCAATCCCGATCGGTTTTGAGGGCACGGAGCGTCGAGCGTCCGGGCTGTTCCGGGCTGGTCCGCGCCTACGAAGGCGCCGGCTCCGTGGTAACCCCGGGACACGGTGCCCAGTGTGGGCAAACGCCATCCCTACACCTCCAAGTACCTCCTCAGAAGGTATTTGGACCCTCCAAGCCCACCCCAAACACCTTCTCAGAAGGTACGACTGGAGGCCTAGGGCATTCGGCTTTCAGCTTTCTGTGGAAGAGTCTCTATAAACGTAGCCAAAAGTCTCTGAGCACCACCACCCAAGTCGGGTGGTTTATAGAGCCCCCTGAAGATGTATTTTTCATCCAATAACCACCCCTTGGGTGGTGCTGGGAGATGTTACAGTATGCAGACGACCTAGTAGAGCTGAGATGAGTAATGATGTCATTGGCGTTTTGAGAGGGTGGGACGTGATTTGTTTGGTGACTTGTTTGCATATCGCAGATCTAAAAACATGCTCAAACTGCCCTCTTCCTGGACCCTCCAACAGGTCACCACCAGGTCCACTTGTTTGATGATCTAAAAACATACCAGCATCTTCAAAGGGGTCACCAATGGACTAAGGGACCTCCAGCCAGGACACGCCTTGAAGGTTCAGGTAGCTTAAACTACCCGGCTTTGAAGGCTTCGCAGGATGAACGCACCACCACATGCCCAATCCCAAACACCTCTCATCGCGCACGGCGCTCTCGTCGCCTTCCTTAGCGGCACAGGCTCCACGTCCGACGCTGTGCCGGAACCGACGGAGCCCGTCTCCAGTCCGAGGGAAGGTCAGTCCCGGACTGAGGGACCTTCTGATGGACTGATCCCAGACACTCCATGTATGCCATATATGCCTACATTGACCCCCCAAACCATCCCAATGTAGGCAAATATGGCAGTCCCATGGAGTGTCTGGGGATGGACTGATTGAGAGTCCGGCCGTTTCTTCCGAGATCAAGATGCCTCTACGCCTCTGTTGCTGGTGGTGAATGAGACCAAGGACGTCGCCGAGTCGTCGCTCAGAAACCCCGTTCCTCTCGTCGCTCGAGTCCGCCCGAGCTTGGATCGAGAGAGTGCACTTGGGATGGCTAGCCGAGCACCTCCGACTCAAGGTGCGTATAGAAGTCCAGTTCGACTATTATTGACACCAACCAATGTAAAGGATGATCCTGGACATGGGTGTCCTGGCGTTTGACTACCTTACCCCCCCATATAGACTTACAGGTCTCCTACTCCAGGGCACCCGTTTGAAGGAAGGAAGTGCTAATTCCGGAATGTAAGTCGGACATGTCCGGATTTTTCATGCTCTCTCCTGGACGAAAGCCAGGGTAAGCCGTTCAGAACTTGCTTGGACCACTTCGAAGATAGGGAAGCCAAGCCATTCAGAACTTGCGAAGTGACCGAAGATCGGGACCGCACGTTCCGTGTGCGAGGCGAAACGGGACGACGTAGACCGACCGGCGACGTAGATCGACCGACGACGTAGACCCTTCGGTGGCTAGCTCGCGGAGCTAGCGAAGTGGCCGGAAGTGGCCATGGGTGGCTGCGCTTCACATTGGCAGGTACAAAGCAAAAACCAGCACCAGACTCTACAGGTCTCCGAGTTTTAGTGACTTTTGATACTTGCTGCCTTAGGAAATTAACCCAAGGGCCCCCTCAGTTTGAAAATTAATATATTTGGATTAATTGTCTATATGTTGGGGAGTTTGGGGGGGGTTCTATAAAAATCCATGTGAACTTAACTAGAAAAAGATCTTGATAGGATTAATTAGCTCATGAGGGAGTCGATTAATTAGCAATGAGGGAGCTGAAACTGAAGAGTGGGAGAGAACTAGACTACCTCTGAGTTTATTTTGGACTTGTGTTGTCAGTGCTTTGCTTGTTAGGTTCAGATGCGTTTTTCCTTTGTCAATACTTGAAGATCACCGGTTGTACCAGCTGGATTAGATTCCAGGGCTAGAGCCTGCTGGCTTTAGCCAGCTAGGAGTTTTATTTAGAGAAATCGTATGTTCCAGCAGGGCTGGAACAATACTTCGAAAAACAACACCCTGTCTCCACCATCTGGGTTCTTGTTAAAGGATTTGTTTAAAATCCTGGTCAGACCAGAAAAACTAAGGAAACAACTAAGGAACATTAGAATGTTAGACTCAAATGCCTAGAATTAATTACTAGAAAGGTAGCTCCAGGCCCTGCAAATTAGTTTCTCTGAGTTTTGTCATGCGACTCAAGCATAGTGGTTTAATTAAGTTAATCAAAATTATCTTGCACTCGTCAAGTCTTGGATTAATTTCAGAATATTTACTGCAGGGGTAGTGATTAATTCTCCTAATTAATCTGGGGTAGGGGGTAGTTGACCCCCCCTAAGGTAGGAGGTATGACTTTTGTAGACTTTAAAAGTGGACCTGGTGGTGACCTGTTGGAGGGCCCAGGTACAAATCCCTGCGAATCCAAGACCATTTAAAAGATGCTCGGCTCTATTAGATATGTTAGATGACTTTAGATGACCCGAAAAGAGATTTCCTTTATACTTTGGTGGTGCCATATATAGTCTTTTGGCCTCCGGAGGGCAAATGGTATGCGGTCGAACCGATCTTTCCAGCTGTCTCATCGTGTCAGGAGATTTTTTCGGCACATCCCATTGCCTCAATCTTTGCCGAGAAAACAAGCCTAATCCATCCAACAGCTCTGGGAGTCTAACACAACCGCAGCACCTTTTCAAAAAATCGTTTGACCTCCAGCACCTTCAGGACCTCGGGGTCACCTGGCTGGTTTCGCCCCAGCCCACTACTAGAAGGGACCTCCAGCCAGGACACCCCGAAAGAAGGTCCAGGCTGGTGTTTGTAGTACAGCGTTGTAACTTCATAATCGTTCTACCCAGACGCTCATGGACCCTCCTAAGTAGGGGCCGGACCCTCCTAAGTAGGAGTCCGGACCCTCAAATTTGTAGGGTTTTGAGGGACCAAGAGCTGTTTGGAGCGTCTGGGTAGTTCAACTCGGTTGCTTTGGTCACATCCATCCACTGAAGGAAGCTCCGAGCGAAGTTTCGGGAAGCTCCTCGCAAAGCCTCGTTTCCAGTGCCTATGGCTTAACCTGGCCCACCATTAATAGGCTGAATCCCGAATCAACTGAGGACTTTACACTGGGTCGTTCCCAATTTTTCCAATGGTCGAACGGTCGACAGGGCAGTCCTTGCTGTGGAACAGACAAGCGCGCCGAGTGTCTCGCGCGCTTGTTGGGTAGGAGGATGCCTGGGCGCTCGCCGGCCTGTGTTCGCGACCGCGACGGCGACGGCGACGTGTACCAGTGCGTGCGTGCTCGGGCGAGGGCCGGAGACTGGCTGGAGGGTGTTGCACTGGTTTGGAGCCATTTTTTCGGCACGGGAGCGTGACAAACTTGACACAACTTCAGCTACCAGCACCCGAAAACTGCCAGGTCACCAATCCCAGACACGACCTGTCTGGGACTGTATGCCGCCCCAGACAGACCCCCCTGGCACCACAACTGATCGGCACTCTGATCGGAATATATTCCAGTCCCATGGAGCGTCTGGGAATGGTTCGACCTCAACATGGCCCTCCAAACGAGGAGACCGTCACTCCGTCGAACGACCTGGGGCGCCACCGCCGCAGTTCGGCTCCAGACCGTGCAAGTCCTGCGTGGCGGTGCCTAGTCCGACCTGGAGAAACTCCAAAAAGTGAAGAAGAGAACATCATGGACACTTGGCAACCTGTAATACATATACCAGGACACCCGGACTAGGGATTTTTATTGATAGCCTCCTGAAAGAGCTGATTGACCACCGTATGCAAGGACCCTCCAGGACCCTCCGGGTGGTTCAGCTCTGAGACCAAACGTCCCACAGGTGGGCTTCACACACCTGGGCACCGCACGAACGGAAACACAGGAAGCATCTGGAGCTGAGTCGGGTGCTGGTAGCTGACCTTTCTCTCTGTGTGGGTAGTTCACATGCATCCATATACCCAGCTGATGAGAGTGGCGTAATTTGTGGCGATCAAAAGCCACCTATAGGCATGTCGAGTGATCGAGTGAATTGCCTAGAACTTCCAAGAACACGGAGGCATCATCATCCACTCATCCACCACTCCATAAAATTAGGTTTGTGAGTTCATGAGTCCAAGACTTGGATTGCCTGGGTACCAAAACCGAAGCTCTTAGCCCTTCAGCAGAGCGCAGACACGACCTCTGGAACTCCCATGGAGTCCTTGCAACTGCCGTCGGCGAAGATTTGCCTTTTGAAGGACCTGGTACGCGGGTTTCGCGGTCACGTGGAGTGTTGGAGACAGAGCGGAGCGGTCTGAGAAGCGGTTCAAGGATTTGTTTCGATTCCGGAATTCGAAGGAGCAGGCTTTTTTGATTGGGGGGGAGGAAAACTGGGAGGGCTTTTCTCGGTGTTGGATCGGGTTTAGACCTTGTTCGCCTTGTTTTTATAGATCACTTCTTGGTGGACCAGTTGGTCACAGGATGAGATATTGGGTCGCCTCAATGCACACCATGCACACCAGGTCTGAGAGATACGTCTTGCAGTGGTGTGGATATCTGATCTTGTATACCTTTCCGGTGGAAGCAGAGTTCATCCGCATTGGCAGTTTCCAGCCGTTTTCAACCGCAGGTTCACCAGGTGTTCTGGCGGTCAACATGGGGTGTTTGATTTTCAAGAATCCGGGCTCCTTCACCAACACATAGGGGCACTGGTTCGGGCACACCTCTGACCATTCGGTGTCGGTGTCGGACTCCGCCATGGAGAGCCCCCGGACTTCGGATTCCCCTATAGGGATCCAGTCGTACCTTTTGAGAAGGTGGGACTGGGCTGGGTGCCAGGAGGGTGTCAAATACCTTCTGAGGTACGACTGGATCCGGTTCTTGAGGCTTTCAACTCGAGGTTCGTTCGTTCGCCACCGGAAGCCGGTCCACGTCACGGTTCGAAGGAGTCTCCTGTCCTCTCCGAGAGATGCGAAGAAGTCCACTATTCCCTAGGGCTCCAGTCGGTCCAGTCGTACCTCCTTAGGTATGACTGGACCCACCCCAGGCCCACCTTCTAAGAAGGTCCGACTGGAGGTGTAGGGATTATAGACCCGGTGGGTCACTTGGATCCTGCGTTTGGGTTAGCTTGTGGATCCCCCAACAAAAATCCGGCAGAATCAGGAAGGCAGGCACCTCCTCCATCTCCATCCACACCAGGAGCTCACCGCGACTTCGGGCTCCGTGAGAGTCACCGGCTTGGTGAAGGCGAGCGCGCTCCGTCCACCGCTGCGTCCGCGACTGCGTCGCGACTGCGAGGCATAGCTCGGCGGATGTGAGACGCCGATGCGGTTGGGGTGAAGGGCGTGAAGGGGCTGTTTGGTCGTAGACATGTACAGACGCTCCGTGTTTTCGTTCACGACGCCCGACTCCCGGTCCCTCCAAAACTGGATTGGTGAGAAACCCCCATGAATTCCCTGACCCTGACCCGTTCGGATTCGGGGTCCAGACTTCACGTCGACGGGTGGGTTTTCCAGTCGACCATTTTTTTGGATGGCGAACGACGAGGTTGAAAGACCCGAACTAGGCTATCCTATATAGTTCGGTACCCCTGGGCCGGGGGGGTGTATGTTCAAAAGTTCGCTCGGCCACACGGCATGTAGATGAACCGCCCAAAGGCGACCCTGGACCCGAATCCTGACAGGTCAGGGGTTGGAACCTATATCCCTAGGTTTTGAGGGACCAGTCAGGCTGTGAATGGAGTGTCTGGGAGGTATAGACATATGTTTCGTCATGGCTGGGGGTCCAGTCGAACCATTTTGATTCTGTAGAACAACACGACAAGTCGTGGAAGCTGCTCTCTGCTCGAAGCGGTGAGCCTCCGTGGGTACCCGTATACGAGTCAGGTGCCAACCCCGTCCGAAGACCCAGCAGAACTCGGCCTTTTCACCTTATATTGGGCGGCTTGATAATACCTTATTGTGCCTTATTAGCAGAGTATAGTGTTTATGTATGTCGAACTCCAATTTTCCATGAGGTCTTTGACATGTATAGGGTAATGTCATGGTAATGTCATAGTCCCAAGCACTTGAGCTGAATGTGATCATACGCACTGTTTCATTTGGAGAGGGCGAGCCTTCCATCCCCTAAAGAACTTATACCAGGGGTCACATATCGGGGTGGTTTTTAGTCCCTAAGTGAGTGGAGTAGCTGGGCACCCCTATCCTCCAAGTTCTGCACCCCTTTGTGACTCCTGGTACTTTGTCTGCATTGATTCCCATCCAATCCACTCAACACGTGCAGGACATCATGTTGATCTCTTTCACATGCTTTCTTTCATGTTCCTTCACGACTTCCTGGTTCGCTCAATCTCCGCCAACCGTCATCCCTTCCCACCCAATAATCGGGCCCATGGATCTGCATACCCCTAAGGATCCTTGGACCCTCCTTAGAAGGGGTTGAACCCTCTATAACAAGGGTGCGGATCCTTAGGGACACTGAAAACCACCTCCTTCAGGAGCTTCAGGGCTCTGGTGCCCTGCTGGAGGAGAGCCAACCTCGTCGCTCGAACGTCGCTCCGGTCCGAAGGGCGCTCGATACGGCAGACGCACCTCTCTCCGTCCGAAGCGCCGGCTGCAGAGGGCGGTGAAAACCACCCCTTGGTCGACAGCTTATCTCGACCATCGCAGGCCGTTGTCACGGGGGTCGTAATCGGAGAATTCCCCGCCAAGCCTACAATTACTATAAGCTCTATAGGCCTCCAGTCATACCTTCTGAGAAGGTGTTTGGGGTGGGTTCGGAGGGTCCAAATACCTTCGGAGCAGGTACTTGGAGGTGTAGGGAAAGTGAAAGCATGTGTTTAAAACCACCTCTCCACAGGCTGACCCGACCCATTTCTCAAAGGTCTGTGATTTTTGGAGGGTTTTGTTCAATGCAGACTTGTTGCAACTTCAGCAGGTGGTGATCTCATTACTGGCAGTGGTTGGATCCCAGACACTCTACTTGGACCCTCCTGGCCAGGCTGTTCGGAGACCACAGGTGGTGAACCTGGGCACCTGTTGTCACCAGGAAGCACCTGTTGGAGGGTGCTGGTAGTTTGGATGATTGAGATTGATTGAAGAAAGCCCTTCACAACACGACCAGCTTAAGCCGAACTTGGCCGATTTTTTTTGGATGAAAATGCAGACAATTTGTCACAGCTGGCCCATGAATTGAACCCTGAAAAGGATTGAAAAGGATTGAAAAGGTTTGTATACTAGGACCTTCCAAGCCTGGTGGTTTTAGAACGCTAACACCCAGACACAACCCTGCACCCTATGGAGGGTTGGACCCGAATCCTTTGGAGAGGTCTGGGGACCAATCCGGCTTTTGAGGGACCCGGGGTCGTTCACGGAGCGTGGCCCTGCAGGCCCTGGGCACCCGGACGTGGCCAGAAACACCAGAGGTAGAGGGTCCAAGCTTCGCCGTCGAGTCGGTATTCATGGGGTGCATGGTGTGGAAGATCCAGGTAACTGCCATAGGACTGCCGATCAGTTGGGGTGGTTGGGGCCTCTAGCCATCTACGAATTGATAACGTCTATGGCCTCTATAGCCATCGGAGACCCCAAGAGAGGTAATTCTGTGACCAGGTCACTAGGACCTCTGACCCGTGAGTCACCTGGGGTACCGGTTCCTGGGATAGCCTACCTGGACCCTCCAAAGTACCTTAGAAGATGGACATGACCTTATAAAAACACCCTGGAAGTCAAAGACCATTTAAAAAATGGTTGATCTGGTTTTGTAGTGTAAAACCCTTAGCTAAAACAATGGTGGTTCGGTAAAGGCTATTAAAACACTGGTGGTTCGACTTCTAGGGAACAGGTACTTGTACCCATTTTCCGAGGTACAAACTGAGACTCCAGGTAGTTTCGGGTTCTTCAACCTTCCTCTGTTGCCCCAGGGTCGACCTGCAGGACCGAGGAGCCGTGCTCCACGTGGACGCCGCCTCCGTGCTCGGCCGTGCGGTCCTGCAACCAGGTGCGGTGAACCGTGGGACGGTGATACGGAGAGGATGAAGAGGTGGTGACAGGTGGTGACCTACAGAGGTGGAGAGTGACCTGAACTAGGACCCGTAACCAGGGGTACCAAACTAGGATAGTCTAGTTCGGGTTCTTCAACCTCTGCTGGATATATACCCTATACACCCCTATACGCAGTGGGTGGATCACCTGCCAAAGCTTTTTTGGGGGGATTGGTTTCCCCACGATCGCGTTTTCAAACAAGCGCGACGGTCGGCTTGAGGGGAGTCAACCTCCCTGGAACCACGTGAGTCCAACCGGTGTCGACGACCACATTGGACTTCCGAGACGACCGAGCTGTTTGACGGATTTGACCCCCTTCCAGTCAGTTTGAGCCTCGTGAAATACTCACTACCAGGACCTTCCAAGAGGTGTCTAGGTGTCCAGAAACCTGTTGGAAGGTGCTGGTACTTGAGGCAAGATTCTGTCCGATGTGGCGGGTGAAGAATGCAGACCCCTACAATAGTCTACTCTATAGATGGTCATGGAGTCATGGAACATCCAATATACCTGGATCTTCCAACGGTGTCAAATTGATGCTTTTTCATCTATAATCCAACCCTAAGGATCCTTGGACCCTCTACAACGAGGGGTTGAACCCTCTAGTTCACCAGGGTTTTTGTACCCCGAACCAAACCCTCGGTTGGTTTCGGGTGCGGATCCTTAGGGTGGGGTATTTGCCAAGCTCTCGATCTACCTTAGCTGTCGGTACCAGTTGGAGGATGGAGGCACAGATCGACCGGACCCTGGACCCAGCGTCCCATTGGACGGCGTCGGACTTGGAGGGTCGTCACCCTGTCGCCCTACGAACTCGTCCGGTCGGCAGCGTCCAGTCTCCTGGTCTTTGATTTGCAGGGCCTTAAGTATAGTGGTTTTGTTCTGACATGTTATGACCATCTCTCGTATTTCATGAGGTCAAACTGAGTCAAACTGACGAAGCTAGGGTGACCAGGGGTGTTTCTTCGATCACAAGAAGAGTAATGGTCCAGACGAAGCTAGCGTGAAGAGTACTCCAGTTGCTCGCATGCGAAGTGCGTGTGAAGTTTGATCGCTTCGGGAGCATGATTTTCGGGCACCTCAAGCGTGGACACACAAGCAAAAGCCTAATATTAGGAGTACTATATGCACAAGTTGAGAGGTCAGGTTGTGGATGTTTGTGGACTGGACATGGGGAGGTTGCTATTTTGTTGTCAACATTCGTCTCCAACCACTGCAGTGGAAACGATCACAGAGATCCACAGAGTAAAGCGGTGAGATTCACTATAAACACCGGGCGGACGGAGACAGCGCGGAGTCTCGCTGCATGGACCCCTGCACGCCGAGACACAGCGCGGAGTCTCGGTGCCACCAGCGCATCGGATTCGTGGCTGCCGGCGGTCTCGGAGTGCAGCCGATCCACTTCGAAGTGATCTGCGGAAGAGCCCGAAAGGTGGGTGCCGGTAATTACATGGACTCCCTGAAAGAAGGGCCACCCCAAGGTCAACATGGCAGCGTTTGGAGACACGTCTAAAATCGGTGATTCCATTAAGGTTGACGGCGACTCCATTGAGGTTGAGGCCGCTTAGCTGTTCAAACTTGGAGTCACGGTTACCCTTGTTGACCCGCTGCGATCTGCTCGTGATACGAGTGTGGATCACGGTCACTGACTCTCCACGGGACAGCCGGAATCATCCGGATCCCAGACGCTCCGTCGTTCACGACGCCCCACTGGGTCCCTCAAAATCATATCCAGATGCTCCATGGGACTGCCATTTACCCAGACGCTCCAAACAGCCCTTGGTCTCTCAAAACGCTAAGTATTTGAGACCCCTGACCCCTCCATATGAGGGTCCGACCCCTCCATATGAGGGCCCAGGGTCGCGTCTGGGTATGCCTCCATTGACCATCCTGGCACCGGCATATATGCCAGTCCCATCGGTCGCGTCTGGAATAGGGTTTGGTGAGAAGGTCCGGACCCCTGACCCTTGGATGACCGGGTACGGCCCCCCCGTCCGGGTCCGAACGGGTCGCGCCAGACGACTCGTCGTGACGGGAAGACCAGAGCGTCGAGACACGACTGGGGGAGACCAGAGGTGGAAAAGGTGGGTTCCCGATGAAAGGTTCGCCATTTTGGGAGGGGCCTGCGGCCTTCTAGCTAAGGAAAGGAACGCTTTTATACGGTCCCTTGATCACAAGTTCACCATCTATGACACCGAGACTGGAAAACCACGACTTCATGGTCTTCAGGCAACCTGCGTGAAAAGGAATTTTCTGAACACTTCAGGAGTTTCAAAATACTTCTATATGGAAATTGTACCAGCACCCGACTCTACAGGTCTCCTCTGGTAGCTTTTGGAGACTTCAGGGTGTGAGGTGGTGACCTGTTGGAGGGTGCTGGTCTATTGTTGAACTGAGGCACCCGAGGCTGCCTCTCGACCTTCTTCCTACGACGTACTGACAGTGTAAGAGTCCAGAGGCTGCAATGTCAAATTTCGAGGTGACCCACATTTCAGCGCTGCAGCCGAGTGGTGAAGTTATCGCTCTTGAAGTCACTGAAGAGATGACGGGCTGGATGCTGAAACAGCAGATCAAGGAGCGACAGCCTTGGGATGAGCTTACTCGCAGCACTACAGGTGTGGAGATCATTGTCGGAGACAACCACTTGCTGGCCAACGATACAAGAGTATTGGACGCTGGATTTTCTAAAGATACTGTTGTGAGTGTTGTCTTCAAGCCAAACAAAGTGATGTGCTCCAAAAAGGATGCGATCGCCAGTCTTGGCGGCATCGTTGACTCAGAACTGGTGCTTGTGGTCGAAATTCCAAATGGTGAAACGGAAATTTGTGAAGGAGCTTTTCAGGAATGCACCACATTGGCCAAAGTGACCATTCCGGATTCAGTGACGCACATCAGGCTTGCTGCCTTTATGGATTGCCACACGTTGTCCAAAGTGACCATCCCAAACTCTGTGACCCAAATTGACATGTTGGCCTTTGCAAATTGCACATCGTTGGTGAACTTGACCATTGCGGACTCAGTGACCCACATTGGAAATCGCGCCTTTCGGGACTGCACCTCTTTGGCAATCTTGACCATCCCAGGCTCAGTGACCCACATCGGGGATGGTGCCTTTCAGGGTTGCAGCTCTTTGGTTAGCTTGACCATCCCGGACTCGGTGACCCACATTGGGGACTCTGCCTTTTCGGAGTGCTGCTCTTTGGTGAACTTGATCATCCCGGACTCAGTGACCCACATTGGGGATTTTGCCTTTCTGGAATGCAGCTCTTTGGTTGAGTTGACCATCCCGGACTCTGTGACTCACATTGGGAATCAGGCCTTT